ATATGTTTGTCATTTTCATTGTGATCTGATATATCCGGCTCTTTATTTTTGATGACTTCAATTGATTCCTCTGATACGGGTTCCAAATATAATTCTTGTATAAATTTTTGCATCTCAATTCGGCTATCCTTCTGAATTGAATCGTTTTTAGTTTCAGTCACATGAGGGTGAGACCCCGGGTCGCACGGTTGATGCTCGGTCATAATATTTATTTCAGAAGAAATGATACTTTGTGCCTGATTACGACTTGGGTTGTCATTTATTGCGCTATTGTCTTGTTCCAATTTAGATATTTCAGTTTCTAGAAAATCTGACTCTGCTAAAATTACATGAATTTGCTCATCCCTCTCTAAGGAGGCAGTTTTTGAGCCACAAGATAAATTAGATATATTGTTGTCCGAAGATAAGTCTGGATTTTGATGAGGCAAAGCCTCGAGACTATGTCTCTCCCAAAGCTTTTTTTCCTGATTTCTCTCTCTTATCTCTTTGCCAACAGTTTCTTTATGTACCCGTTCCAGAAATTCGATCTCCCTATCTTTAAAAGATTTAGTTTCTGAAAAAGTGTTATCGGATACATCAGAATTTGAAATATTATTAAGTTCATTAGAATTTGATACATTATCAGATGAAGTAGACGAAATCTCTTCTGTAGAAAATGCATCCTGTGTATTAGTAATGGTTTGATCTTTCTTTTTGATTTCCTCAATATCATGTCTTAATTTCGCTACTTCGGCTTTAAGCTCAGTGTTTTTGGTCTTGAGGCTAGTAGTATCTTCTTTAAGTTTTGTATGATCAGCTTCGCGTTTGCTGTTTTCTTCCATAATCCGTTTTAAAAGCTCAGTATTCTTAACCTCAAGTTCAGCCTTTTCAGCCTCAGTCTTAGCATACTTCTTTCTAAGTTCGGTAATCTCGACTGTGAGTTTAGAATTTAATTCTCTTAACGAAGCAATTGTAGTTTGTGAATCTGCCATCGTTTTACATAAAATGCGGATATATTCAAAATAAAAACATTAAGTGTTCATTCCAATTTTTAAAAATTATCAATCATATGTGGGTTAGCATACATCGGTAAGAATACACACGCAAAAGTAAACTGATTATTTATATGAAATTGAGCCACCAGGGCCTGTTTTATTGTTTTATTGATACAGAAACATATAAGTATTTTACAGAATAGAAGTATAATCCCTCCTGAAATGGATTGACCGACAATCTCGAATTTTTTTTGCTCACCCCATAAAAATAAATCTCTGAAATATTTGGTAAGATTAACTCGATTAAGATTAATGAATTATAATAAGGTTTAACCCACGACTTAAACGTTAATATAACTATATTTTCTACTTCTTTTTTCGTTTTTTCACGTCCTTCTTATTCTTTCCTTTCTTTGACGTCTCACTACTTTCATCCTTTACAATCGCATCAATCTTTTTCGTTTTCCGTTTTTTCACGACTTCACTCTTTGACGTATCATCCCTTTCATTGTCTGTCACTTTACTTGATCTCAAATTACGCTTCCTTGAAGTCACGTTGCTCCCTGACGTTTCCCCAATTTCGTCGTCTTCACTCTTTTCCATTTTTCGTTTTTTTATGCCTTTATTATCTATTTTCTTCCTCGATGCTTCCTCATTGTCATCATCTCCCGATATCGCATCACTAGATCGTTTTTTTGCACTTTTATTACTAATTCCCAAGTTGATCTCTAGCGCATATTGGGTTATATTGTTAATCCATTTCGGAATTTTCTTAGAATCTTCGCCTTTAGCTGACTTGTATTTTTGCAGTGGAAATGTTCCAAAACTGTCCGGTGGCACGACAAAGTATAAATTAAAGTTATCCACATCCTTTCTCCATGCAAGTAGACGATCAAGGTCATTAAGTCCTTTTAT